TGTCTGGAAAGCTGCCTGGAGGAAAAGGACCTGGGGGTATTGGTCAAGAGCCAGCTGAATTTGGGCCAGCAGCGTACCCAGGTGGCCAAGAAGGCCAATAGCATCCTGGCTTGTATCAGAAATAGTGTGGCCAGCAGGACTAGGGAAGTGATCGTTCCCCTGCACTTGGCACGGGTGAGGCCACACCTCAAATACTGTGTTCAGTTTTGGGCCCCTCATTACAAGAAAGACATTGAGGCACTGGAGCACGTCCAAAGGAGGGCTATGAAGCTGGTGAAGGGTTTGGAGCACAAGTCTTACGAGGAGTGGCTGAGGGAACTGGTGTTGTTTAGCCCAGAAAAAAAGGAGGCTCAGGGGAGACCTTATCTCTCTGTACAACTCCTGAAAGGAGATTGTAGCAAGGTGGGTGTCAGTCTCTTCTCCCAAGTAACAAGTGATAGAATGAGAAGACATGTCCTCAAGTTGTGCCAGGGGAGGTTTAGATTGGATATTAGGAAAAATTTCTTCACCAAAAGGGTTGTCCGGCATTGGAACAGGCTGCCCAGGGAAGTGGTTGAGTTACCATCCCTGGAGGGATTTAAGACTTGTAGATGCGGTGCTTCGGGACATGGTTTAGGAGTGGACTTGGCAGTGTTAGGTTAACGGTTGGACTCGAAGATCTTAAGGGTCTTTTCCAACTTAAATGATTCTGTGGTTCTAAATTTGTCCAATAACAGCTGTGTCTGGCAACCAAGATAGCCCAGCAACAACAGGGAACAGCACAATCGTAACACTGTAGGTAAATATAATCACAGAATCATAGAACATCTCGAGTTGGAAGGGACCCATATGGATCATTGAGTCCAACTCTCTGCTCCTCGCAGGAATACCTACGCATAAACCATATGACCGAAAGAGTTCTCCAAACACTCCCAGACCTCTGACAGGCTGGCTGTAACAGAGCGAAGACTAAGAGGCATCAGAAATTGAAGCAAGCCTATTGCAAAGATTCATAGATTCATAGATTTCTAGGTTGGAAAAGACCTTAGAGATCATCGAGTCCAACCGTCCCTAATCACCATTAAACCATATCGCTAAGTAGATCATCCACCCTATTCCTAAACACATCCAGGGATGGGGACTCCACCACCTCCCTGGGCAGCCTAGAGGTCTTATAACAAACAAGGTCTTATATGATAAGTTATGTTATATATGTCTTATGTTATAAGACCTTATGCAAAGGTCTTATAACAAACAAGTTCCACATCATAGTTAAGAAAATGAGTTACACTTACCAGGTTTCTTGATCGCTCAACTTTTTAAAGGGGAAATCAAATTACACAAATGTCTGTATGGCTGTTTTCTATGATCAAGCCAGTTTTTAATTGAAAAAATAGGTTACATACAATTATACGCGATTTTTTGTTTCTGCTCTTGCAAGGAAACTGATAATCACTGTAAAATGTCCACGGAGAACCTAAACTCAAGTTACATATGACATAAATGCAAACTTATCTTCGGATATGGCAAAGTAGGAACTTTCCAGTCATGCTCTCTCCATAAAAAACAGATTGGCTTTTACTTGTTCAAAATTATTTGAGATGGAACTTGCGCTGATTTCGTTCAATGGGACATATATGGGAAAGGAGGTTCCTTCTCCAAATTAAACCACT